ACGGACTTTCAGAATATGTAATTTGCATAAAAAAAATATATGTTATAGTGACAATATATTTGAAATATCGACGGAAAATATTATTTTCCAGGGGTATATATTGAAGGTTCGAAAACCTTTGTATCATCTCAAGACATGAATCTCTCTGACATAGTTCAAATAAATGTCTAGCGGCTTAGTGTTCTCAAGAACATCGCGATACAAAGTAGGAATTTTGTTACAGCAAAACAAAAACACGCAAAGTATGAGGGTCGAACGCGTACGCGACCGACTACAGAAATTCTGTGCTTCGTACCCAAGCAGACAAAATTTTTCAAAAACGCGTTTAAACGCATGAAAAAGTGTTTTAAAACTAAAAAACGTGGGCGTTTTTGTGCGTTTACACGCGTTTTCAGCCAAAAAACGATTTTAGAAGCGTATAAACGCATAAAAAAAGAACATAAAAACTATTGGTCTTTTTCATCATCGTTAATCGCAATCATGATTACAATGACAGTTTACGATGATGAAAAAGACCAATAGTTTTTATGTTCTTTTTTATGCGTTTATACGCTTCTAAAATCGTTTTTTGGCTGAAAACGCGTGTAAACGCACAAAAACGACAAAAAATGGGTGCTTTTCGCTCACAGTCGGGAACCGCGATTGTGAGCGAAAAACGCCCACTTTTTTCAGTTTTATAACACTTTTCATGCGTTTAAACGGGTTTTTAAAAAAGGTTTGTCTGCTTGGGTACCGCATTAAGGGTCCCCTCCCTCAGAATCGACTTGCCACTTAGAACGGCCCGTTTGGGCTGAAACTTTCAGGAATGGATGGTACTAGTGAGAAACGCTTATGGTAAAAATTTCAGCCTTACACACCTTACTAAACTAGACTTTCGGCTTGTTTTATAGCTTCCACAAGAATCGAAATAACTTCACGGCTATAAGAGGTATCGAGGTCGGGCTGGTTTCAAATTAAAGCTAGCCTCTGTGCGCAACTTTTCGTCGGAGAGAATTTTTAAATTTCCTCCTATTCATTTTTAATAAGCATTCCAGTGGACATGACTTTCAAAGTAGGCCTAAAAACGGTCAACGGACGACAGTAAATCCAACTTTCCTTAGTCCAGGAGTCAAGTATCAAAAATCCGTCCAATCAAAAGTTAGCTCTCGTCAAGACCTTTAAAATAGAAAAAAAATATCGGGGGTACCACTGAGCCCAGCGGAAGTTATTTCAATTTTCCTGTCTGGAAACCATGTTTTGAGAAAACCGCTAAAGAAGTTTTAGAAATGGAGTTTTTCAGTCAAATGCAGGAAATAATGGTATATTAATAATATTTATGTGGAATTTTTGAAAGCATGCAATAGATGATGTAAGCTAGCACTACAGGGCGTCCATTAAGATATCGTCAAAAAATCGTAACGAGTCACCTCTAATACCGGAAAATTAGAAAAAGAGTTGTAATATCAATATTTTCGTCCTATAGGGCCTAGCTCAAAGTGAGCAAAATCTCTTATTTGTTTTAAGAATAGGTGGTTTTGCTCACATTTGTCAATCATTAACAAAATTTCGATAGCAAAGAAGACATCGCGTTTTTCTGATTTTCGTCATCGCGTTACGTTAATTAAACCAAAATGACGAGCCAATAAATGATCTTTTTGAAGTATTTTATTTTTTCGTTGAATACTCCGTACTGTCGGCTACAAAGTTCTTAATGATCGGTTTTTCCAATGTAGCCCACATCCAGAGAAAAACAATGAGCAAACAACGTCACCCTCAACTTTCCGTCCAATTTTCATCATCGCGTTTCACTCAGTATTTTTGCCAGAATTTTCAAACGACTAAGCCAAACGAACTCGGGTTTTCAGAAATTGTGACAGGGTAGAGAGACGCATCAGTCGATGAAAGAATCAAATTTTTAATTAGTCTAGTTTCTAAGAAAAATGGAAAAAACTGCGAACAAAACGTCATCGCGTCACGCTTGTGAAAGTCCATATAAGAATGTTTATTCCATATTGATAGAAGTAAAAAAGTAGTCTTCCCAAAAATAACGAAAACCGCGAAAATCTATCCGAAAACCGGGTAGTGAGGTGGAAATCTCCTACGAAAGTCTGTAAAAATTTGAGCTTCTTTTAAAAATTTATATATATTCTGAAAGAGGAAACTTCGCTGCATCTTCCTATGATAAAAATTCAACTTCGATTACTTTACCAAAGAATGGATTTTCTGAGGGGGGGCCTTAATAACTTACGTGGGTTTTTATTGCTTTTCTAGAGTATTTGTGTTCTTTATCATTTTGCTTTCTCCATGATAATAACGGGATAAGGTTTGTCATCAGTTTATATAACAGAGACCGGTGTGAAGTTTGACCTTTTACATACAATTTCAGATTCTTAGGATTAAAATGGCAACGACAACAGAAGTCAGCCAACCACTCATCGTTATTGTGTCTGGTGGTGGACCAGTTGGTCTAACATTTTCACTTCATTTAACAATGATGATGGGTAAACATGTTAAAATAATTATTTATGAAGGACGATGGT